TTCTTCTCTTTAAAACATTTAAAAATGCTTTTCATGTCAAAATCATCAAATGTAACCCACAAATAAGGTGAAATGCTGCTTGTGAAAGTCAGTAAAGTTCACCCAAAGGATTTAACTTAGGAGCCTCTTAATGGATGAAAGCATGAAAAGTGACAAAGGTTTTAATCTGTCTCTTTTTGATTTCATGTTTTCCTGTTTGTTATGAGTGTACCCAAGGTAGTTAATGTTTTTGCAATTATACCTAACAGTTGGAGGTGTACTTGATTGAAGTGACCCAAATCTTATATAAGTAATTCTGATAATTATCCTGCACTTTGAAAATAAGGCCTGAACTATAATTATTTATGGGAGTGATATTGCAAGAAATGTTCTCTGTTAGAATAAGGCAGATCCTTAGCAAGGTTTTAATGTCCATGGTGAGCACTGTGTCTTTTAAGATATTAATGTAGGTATGCCTATTAATATATATAAAGGACATAAATGCTTAACAGAGGACAGACAAGATAAGTACACGTCTTGCAGTAATCAAGCATTTGCTTTCAGCAAGTCCTTCGCCTAGGAGGAGTCCACTTCAGCAGTATAGTAAAAGTGTTATTTAGGTCCCTCTATAGTTTTGAGGATGCCTCTGATTCTACAAAGACTACAAAGGGATCACATGTTATGCTGCATCTATAAAAACAATTTAAGTAGCTCTAAGTAAGTCTTCGTGCCAATTATGTTAATGAAGTTGCAAAGGGACTGCAAATTTAGAAGTCCTCTAAAGTCCAGTGCTGGCCCAGAAATTCAGAAGCTCCTTAACAAGACATTAAATCAGGCTCTTTAATCTCTCTAATTGGTGCTTTTGAGTACAGAAGAATAGATGAACCCTGCTGTCTTCTAAAAGCAGTAGAACATCTTCACTAGCCAATAATAGCTAGTGAAAATACACTTCTCAGACTGCAAGTCTCCTGTACTAAATAAGAGGCGGAGAAGTTTCATTTCACTGCTACTTGCCAGTGCAGTTTTGCTGTTGAACAGTGCTTGGCTGCAGCTGTGCTCAAAATGGATCAGCTCTGCCCTCCAGGACTGTAAGGTCCCATTCCTAGGCATTGCAAAATATCCTGTCCGTGAGCTAAGGCATGAAACCTAGGAGCAGCCAGAGGAAGTTATCCTGCTGAGAGAATGGGTGGTTCGGTACCATGATTCCTCTCAGGAGCCTTCAAGCCTCTCCTCACAGAATGGGACTTTTACAAACTGATGACCAGTTATTTAAACTTGGGTACTAAAACTTAGAAAGCCTAAAGGTTAACTTAAAGATATTTAAACTTTAGATAACAACTTTCTCTCACAAAAGTACAGCTCTAATGGATCCTAGTTCTTTTAAAACCATAAAGACCAGCTCCTTGGCTGCAGTAAATCCTTACCGGTTTCCCCAAAATGCACGAGGCTTTTTGGTAGCTAAGGAGTTACTATTCATTTAGCATTTTATTTAAAATCTATAAGGTTGCTACTTTCTAGCTTCAGCTTTTGTCCCAATCTCATTTTCAGAGAGATTATCTGCATTCTCTCCAGAGTGACTTCTGTAGTAGTAATGTATGTATATATCAGGGTGACTCAGGCTACACCATCTCCTATCTCTTTTGCCTTCTATGGAAAAGGGAGTAAGACAAACACATATCTCGATGAGTTCCAGCCTTATCATGTCTCCGATTACTTCTGTTCTAAGGTTTTGGTGGAAGTTCTGAAGAACTGTTCTACTTTTTTTTTTTTTTCCCAAATAATTTACATTCTTTGGCAACTTTTTATTACCCATGGCTATTAGTTTTCTAGAACAGGTTTACAGGGTGTCATCCTTATGATTTGTGTAAGAACTCCAAGGCAGTATGATGTGACACCTGGCTTGTGTTTCAAAGAAATAATTATGCAGTATAATTTAATTTTTCCTTGACATTCTTCCTCACTACTGGAGGAAGCAAAAAGGCCACCCACTGAGAGAAGAGACATCAAAGCTAATGAATGCACTAGAGGAAGGCTCTGCACTTCTGTGTCTGTCCCATGCTAAGCATAATCCCAGTCATGGAATATCCAAGGAGATTTGCCCTATACGGTATGTCATTTATGTATATTGATTTTTATATTTTATTCCCTCTGGGAATAAAATTTTCCCTGTAGTCCTGCTTTTTTTCCTACTATTTCATCAAAGCCTTTTTTTCAGTCATCTGTAGTTGGCCAAAGGGAACATGCTTTTTCTGTGACTCATTTTTGGTGGTATTTTCATTTTGTTTAGGGGAATCAAAAAGGTCTGTATTTTGTAAGGGTATTTTCAGAATCATTAATTTCTTGGTGTAAATGACTTTTTATTATCATAACTGATATCTGTTATTTCTCTAAATTGTGGGATACACATTTAAATTCATCAGAATATGCAGGAGAATGAAAATTAGCACAGGACTGTACTTCAGGTACAAATGTTGCAATCATAGTAGCTTTTCACTTGAATTATTAACTTGCATATGATCACACCTATGTATGTGTACATCAACAAACACCCACCATTTCACCCTCAAGATCATCCCTCTTTCATGACTAATACAGTCAAAATTGATCTTATACCTAATAAGAAATTTTGGGGAATGGGGGAGATTTAAAAGTTTAGTTCATGTAGAACTCTAAATATTTTAGACAAATTCCAATTATTTTTCTCACACTTGCATTTTCTGAGATTTTTTTTGTTGTTGTTTTAGCAGGAATTTTGTTCATGTTGGTTTTAGATGTGTTACTCAAAAAAGCAAAGTCATTTAGATCTATTTACTAATCTCTTGGGTTTTTAAAAATAATTTATCATGGTTACAACCAAATGGGGGAAGGAGGAGGAAGAAGAGAGAGAGAGACATATCTTGCCAAAATTTTTTTTAAATGTTCACAATGGCCTCTAGGGTAATGCTTTTTAACAAAGTTATCAAATGCAGTGATGTCTGAGTGCCTTGCGTGACAGCTAATTATTCTTCTGGGCATGTTCATTTTAAGGGGTCTTTCCTATATTTCTGCCTTTCATGAGAATACTTCAGAGGAGTGAAGCATGATACATAAAGAGGAGGCTTCACTCTCTTGAAGTATTCTTGTGGAAGAAATACTATTTATAGCTTTTCTCATGTGTGTGTACTATATAGTTGTTTCTACGTAGGTATAGAAGAAGAGTCACATGTGGGTATCCCATTTACCCACAGTGGTAAATTGCTTTGGGTAATGAGTTGTAGTGCAGCAGATATTTTGTTCTAGAACTTTGCACAATAATTTCTTAAATGTTTTCACATCAGCCTGTGTTTCTTGTATATTACTCCAAACCCCTGTCTCTGTCAGATACTTCAGAAATTATTTTGAAAACTGTATTTTGATTTTCCTTCCCTTTCATTCTGACAAACATTTTAATTATCAAATGAAGAATTTCACAAACTGTTTAAGGAAAATCATATGTATACATTCATATTAAAAAAACTTCAAAAAATACTTTTTGTAAAGTGCTTTTTTATTATGCATTGTCAACAGTTACATGATATGGTGCTGTTTCATGCAAGCTGGAATAGTGTTGAGAGAGCAAATGTTAATCCATAAACATGTTAAGGAAAAAATGTGCTAAATCTGCATAAGTTTGTACAGGTTTAAACATGAAACTGTAGAGCCGCTTCAGTTAAGTTACTTTGAATTTGTTACTGAAACAACCACTAGTCTTACTTGCCCAGTGTTCCCAAACCTTGTCCCAGTTCAGCTTAGGATGTTTGGTTTTATTCTGTATTAAAATTTACACACTTTTTTTCCTGTCATGCAGTATAATGCCATAGTAGCAGCTCTAGGAATATCGCAAAACCAGTACTATTCACCAAACGCTTGTGGTTAGCATACAATAACGAGGCCATTTCAAACTAAGTACTGCATGATATTGCCAAAAACCCCTCAAAACCCCAAACCCAAAAAACCCCAACCCAAACACAAATCTTCTAGTATAAGCTAACACAACAAATGTACATAATATGTCATGGAGCAACAGCTCAGCTAAAATAATAATATATAAGAAAAAAAATCTATGGAAATATTTCTTCTTGTTTTGTGCATGCCAGGTGCTTCACATCTTTATTTGTTACAAATGATAAACAGTAAAATTGAATTACTGTGTTTCTTCAGGACAGTCATGTAGTAAAATATTTCTTGCAATGTTCAGGAACATAGAGAAGTTGTTTTAATTACAGACTGAAAAAAAAATCTATTTTATGCATCTTCATTGTCTTATATATAAACTAAGTAATAACGTCTGAGTAATGGACAGTATATAATACAAATTTTCCTACATAATCTCTGGATAATAAATTCTTCAAGATGGACTATAATAACTGGACTTAAGAAATAACTATTTACCACATACTTTATAATGAGTGACAGATGTAGCTGATCATTTAGCTGTTTTATTCATTTTCACCATAGAATCTACTTATTTTAATTCGTTCCTCTACAATGAGCTGTTTGAACTTGACTTTCTTGCCTTGGAATGATGGAACAGCTGTTTATCTTGAGCTCAGTAAATCTAAGCTTGTGATTATGTCATTCTTTGACACTTTGATTATTTCACCTTGACAAGCGTTAATATCATTCAGTTTTGTATCATAATTCCCATGTTCTTTTGAATATGGGCTGCAGGAATTTTTAGTTATGTCTACAGAGTCTGTTAGACCACAACCTAAAACCAGGTTGTCTTTTTTAAGAAGAGATGTTTTCAGAGCGTCAGATAAAATAGTGTTTAAGTTTTGGTCGTATTTTGATTCTTTTCCAATGCATTCAACTCAGTATCAGCAGAGAATGTTGTGTTAGTTGCCTCCTTTAAAACTAATGTGCTATTAGTATGAGACTTCTGACAAGGGGCATCTTTATTAAATTGAGCAAGACCATTAGAGGTAACAGCATCTTCATCTTCTGAGTTCTGTTCATCCCATGAAACAGTTACAGAATTGCTAAAATAGCTGTCATGAGATTCATACATCTCCAATATCTTCATTTCTACACCCATTTTCCAGCTTTGCAAAGGCATCCTGTGATACAGTGCAAATTGCATGGCTTAATGCTGTCATTGGCTTAGATGTAGTTGAGAGAGTTTTTTCCTGCCTACAAATGTTTAGATGTGAAAAAGTGGCATAATTGTTACTGTTATTGTTATTCAAGCTGAATTCTTTGTGATTCTTTTGCGCTGTTACATCATCAATGTTAGTAACCTGTACAACTTCTGAATCATCAGTTTCATTAATTTTTTTCTCTCGCTCCTTCCCAGCACTATGCATGATCACATTATCGCCTTCATTAGTATCCTTTCTGCTTTCCTCCTTGTTTTGTGACCCTTCTGTTTTATTCAGCTTATCTTGCACGTTCCCAGCTTCCTCATCTTTTCCTTTATTGCCTGCTTCATTTTTCTTTGCTTTACAGATATTTGTAGCTTCTTTTTCAGACAGAGAGCTAAAGCATGAGTGCTGATTTTGTTGTGCATTTGCAGTGTCATTTTTATTTTGCTCTCTCACAACATTTTTTTTCTGAGAATCCTTTTTATTGCCCAGAGATTTATTTGTATGTAAACTAGAATCGTCTTGAGCAAAACCTTCTGGGGGCCACTTTGGCTTATTTACTTTAGCCATTTCTTCAATAGAAAATGTTTTCTTAGGTGTTGCATCATCTGTTGAAGGAGGCCATGTCATCTTTAATTTACCTCTTTCTGTGGATTTTTTCAAATTGTTATCCAAAATATCAGGATGAATACCTTCAGTACCTGGGTACAAGTCTTGATCAATTTCTGTAATTGGTTTAGGATCAACAGGTATACTACTAATGGGGTTTGTTTCTTCAGCATGGATACTGCTAACTGAGCTACCTTGATCTTTAGAATTCCATAATTCTTTATGCTGTTTGTGTCCAAAACCTTCATCATAATTTCCTTTTGATTTGAAAAGTTGCTTAAAATGGGGTTTACAATATATTTTTCCATGGAGAGATGCATAATTTCCCAAGCTGCCAAATGGAAAAAAAATATTTTATACTTTTACGTATCATAAATCTACTGTGAGTTTTACACTTAGTATTTCAAGTACCCCTACATGACAGTATATATAAAGAAAGGAAGAGCAAAAAGAGAACAAATTCAGTGTATTGGCCAATTTTGACCACACACACACATGAAAAGTATCTAAAACCTTTAACTGCAAATTTCCATATGGTTTCAAAGTCAAAATGAAGGAGAAGAGTCATGCTTTAGGGTTTAAGAAAGAACATAAACTTAATCGGTTGCTGTACAGCATAAGCCTCAAATAGGAATGTTCCACAGCACTTCAGGGTTCTTGGGACCTTTTTCTTCATCGTATTAAGGACCAAATCCTCTATTTTTCTACAAAATAGGTGGAGAAAATACAGTGCCAAATTTTTTTTTAGCCTTTGTGCAAATTATAGAAATTTGTGTTTAATTATATTTGGGTTCTGCTCCTAAATGAAGTAAAGGAAATGTCTGTAACTAATGTCAGCGGTGTTAAAATCAGAACTGTTAGCCTTTGCAGTCTGATAGAGCAATAAATACTGCATTTCATATAAAGGTTACAAGAGTGGTTTGCTAATGCAGGGAACCATCATCATTCATTTTATGGATGAGGAAAAGTGAGAGAAAATTTGATCTGTGTTCAGATGTCTTAAATTGCACCCACGTTTCTGTGTCTACTGCTTCCAGTTCATGAGCTCTCGTGAAGGTCTGGAACACTCAGTAGGAAGTAATATGCAGAAGAGTGTGGAAGGTACCGGGATGAAGCAGTTCTTTAAAGAATTTAAAGGACTTGTTCCACATTGCATGCAGATGTCAGTAGCAGAGAAGAAAAGGGAAACCCAGGTTACTTCGCTGTCAGCCCAACATCCTACAGGCTGAATAGCCCAGTTGAAAATAATTTCACTGGCTGTATTTATATTCAAATGCAGAATTCTGTGAGTGAACGTGCAGTTACTTCTTACCTTAATTGACTGCCACAGTGGTGACATCGGAAACATGATTTATGAAAATTCTGTTTGTCGGCAACTAGGCATTCCATTGGGTAAACTCTCTGTTGACAGAGTCTGCACGTTTCATTTTCCTGAATCTGCAGTTTCTAGAATGAAATATTAAAAAGTTATGAGTTAGTTAAAGCCACATATTATGATTTATTTTTAATTGTATCATGCCATATGTTTTGTTAAAACTGCAGTTTTCTTTATTCATTAACTGGTATCTCAGCTGTCAATTTTAGGCCTTCATTTTTGTTCAACTAACAGTAATACTTTGAAAGTGAAAAACTACTCACCTTTCCCTTTTCAGAAATCCATACATTTGAAAGGACTATTCACTACAACAGGTACAATATTTCCCATTTCTTTGTAATAAATATTTATTTTGTGAAATGAGATAGGATAAAAAAAGGTGTACAAGTATAGGAGGAATTGAGTATAACGTATGTATAATCTTTGAACTACAAGGTGATTTAGAGATCAATAAACAGGGGGCAGATGTTTGAAATTCTGATGAGGAAGTTTTGCTTAATCATGCCAAAAGTACATCAGGGAGTTCCACTTCTGTGGTAACCTGCCAAGTGTACACTCATATGGTCCAGATATGCTATGGACATAAGTATTAGTGATTTTTACAATTTCCATTTTCAGACCTGATACTTTCTTCAGTTAATTTTTAAGACTGAGTTAGCTACAATTATATTAGATAACTATATCAAATGCTTTCTTTTATGAAGTATAATTATTTATAAAGGAAACTAGTTCTTTGTAAAGTACAAAGCATAAATAGAAGGTTTATTTCATACCAGTAAGGGGCAGAAGGAAATAATGGGCAATGTGTTGGGCTTGGAAAAAAGCATGCTGTTCTTCTGTCTTGATTTCTGAATTGCTATGAAAACCATACTAGCAGACAAATACAAATAGGGTGGACCAAATAATTGCTTGTATAAACATATCTCCATTGACAATAGTGATGTCCCTCGACATCGGCAGAAAATTTGGCCCCTTTCAGCATTCTGTCTGGTTTTGGTTTGCCTGCCGGTATTGATTTTATAGTGATTCACAAATGAAGACAGAAAGTGGTGTAGATTTTATAATTACAGCTTTAGTTGCCACATGTCTCTAGTGGCCATAATGAGAGCTGTGAAAAATGCTGAAAATTAAATATCTTCAAAATAATGTAGAAGTTGCAAAAAGAATAAACCACCAGTAAAATCCCCTGAAGAATTGTTAGTCGTGCAATAGAAAGCCTAAAATGCAACCTCAACTTAGTCTCCAAACAGGGTGACAAAGAGAGGCCGGGCAGGTGTGGAGCATAGCGTTTTGGACGTGCCTCCCACCTCCCACAGCATGGACTGCCTGTGTTGGCGGCGGCAGCCAGACATGAGGAATCAGCTTAATAGTCTTAGGTACTAAGACTTTGTGTATTCCAAATGTAAAAAGGGAGGAGAGGAAAGGCACAAGCTTTGTGATACGGAAAGGGATACGGTAACTGGGAGGGGGAAAAAGATGATATGTCTCGTGGAAAACTGTCTCGCTGGGTGGTTATACTTCATTTAGTTGGATAGTTGATAGCGTTGTGCCTCAGAAGGCAACAGTCAAGAGAAGAGAAAAAGAGGGAATTTAAGGGAAGTTTATCTCAAAGCGGCTTCCAGGACTGATTAGTGGAGCCAATATTCATCTTCATGAAAATGAATCACGTATTGGGTGTCAATGGCGAGGTTTTGGTAGCTGGGGGCTGCAGGGCACCTCTCTGAGGAGAGGCCGGGGCTGCCCCCTCCTGGACGCAGCCGGTTCCAGCCGGCTCCAGCGCACCCACTGCAGGGCACAGCTGAGCCCCTCACCCACGCTGGTGGGGCCTCTGGGAAAATGTATTCAAAAAGGGGCAAAATGCTGCACGTGCAGCGAGGACTGAGGGGAAAAATCATAAGAAACAACCCTGCGAACACCAAAGTCAGAGAAGAAGGAAAAGAAGAGATTCCCCTGCAGCCTTTTGAGGAGACCAGGGAAGCAGGTGTCTCCTCACAGCCTGTGGAGAGGACCCTGCTGGAGCAGTCACCCACACTGCAGCCTGTGGAGGACACCATGCCAGAGCAGGTGGGTATTACCATAAGGAATTACAGCCTGTGAACAGCCTGTGCTGGAGCAGGAGAAAAGTGTGAGGAGGAGGGAGCAGCAGAGAGGGACTGGTGTGGACTGACCCCAGCCCCCCATTCCCCATCCCCTCTTGTGCTGCTGTGGGCAGGGGCAGGAGGTAGAAGAGTCAGGAGTGAAGCAGTAAAGTTGAGCCTGGGAAAAGGGGGCAGGAGGGGAGGTGGTTTAGTGTTTGTCTTTGTTTCTCACTATCTAAATCTATTTTAATTAACAATTAATTTTCCCCAAGTCAAGTCTATTTTGCCTGTGAAAGTGATTGCTAAGTGATCTCCCTGTCTTCATTTTGTCCCATGAACTTTTTCATCCTGTTTTCTCTCCCTGTCTTGTTGAGGAGAGGGAATGAGAGAGTGACTGGATGGGGGTCTGGCAGGTCAAGCCACCACACCAGAACGGTCCTACAAAATCTGTGAGGGAAAGGCTGGCCTACTATTTCAGATCATCAATATTTAGAGAACAGATAGAAGACATCCAAAATGAAATCCAGAGGCTTGACCATATGAAGAATTCAGTATTCTACTGGTACTGGGTATTTCAACTCACTTTTAACATGCTTGAGTATACTGAGTCTGTCTGGGATGCAGTTAATTTTCTTTATAGCAGCTCATATGGTGCTATGTTTTAACTATTGCACAGCATCAAGGCCTTTTCTTCCTCCCACTCTGACCCCCTTCCCTGCCCCAAGCTGGGGATGTACAAGAAGTTGAGAGAGGACACAACCAAGACAGCTGATCCCAACTGACCAGAGGGATATTCCATACCATTTAACATCATGCTCAGCAATAAAAGCTGAGGGAAAAGAGGAGGAACAGGGGATGTTCAGAGTTATGACATTTGTCTTCCCAAGTAACTGTTGTGCATGTGAGGCCTGGCTTTCCAGGAAGTGGCTAAACATCTGCCTGCTGATGGGAAGTAGTGAATCAACTCCTTATTTTGCTTTGCTTGCACCCCAGCTTTGCTTTATCTATTAAACTGTCTTTACGTCCACCCACAGGTTTTCTGGGCTTTTGCTCTTCTGATTCTTTCTCCCATCGCACTGTGGGGGAACGAGCAAGTGAGGGAGCGACTGTGCGTGGACTTAGCTGCCAGCCAGGGCCAACCCACCACATTATTTTGTTGGACCACTGCTAGACTGTGCCCCATTTACAGGATCACAAGCTACTCATGTTTAATTCTGCTGCTAGCATGAACAGAGGTAGCACCCTTCTCTTCTTAGTGCACAGAGTTGGGAAACCCAAAGCAGAGCTTTCTGCTTAGGAGTTATGAAGGTACAGGAGCATTTAGCTTTGTTCTACCATTTTCATTGCTGTTCAAGCATAAGCATTCTGTTCATGTATTTCAAATGGCTAAAGCTATGGTAACATCTGGTTTTCCTACAGGATCCCATCCATATTCAGTGCCCAAAATAGATGCACAAAAGGAGAACATTGATGTTCATCATGCAATGGCATGTGTAATATTTTCTTATGTTTCAAATGCATAACTTTGCAATCTAAATACTATTTTAGTACAATTTTTAAGTAACACATGTGCCATGAGAAAAAAGGCATGTTTTATTTTCAACATTTACTTCATATATAAATATTCATATATATTCTCACATACTTGATATATTTAAAAAGTTAACTTCAATATGAAACAAATAACAAGCTCAGCTTTTTGAGGGATACTGAGTGGGTCCACTCCTTAGTGATGTGAAACCTGGACTCTGACATCAGGTAAATGGGTTTGCTGCCTTAATTCAGACTAGGGCTGTATCAACTGGTAAAATTGCTCTGCAGGAAATAGCAGAAAAATTTTTAAAATTACATGTTAGTTTGTAAACCATTTCAGTAATTTTACTCAAAAAAGGAAACCCACCAAAACATAGTTCATTTTGTCTTAAGTCACATCTTGTGCTTTAATAAACTAAAACCAGATGTGCACAAAACATGACCATTATTTTCTCTCTAGAGCTATTTTATACAGGCAACATTTTACTGCAGTTAGGAGGATGTTGCATTAATTTTAAGCATGAGAAGTCAGGTACATTCTGTGCACATTTTCTAGCATGTTAATATTTCTCAAATACAACAGCAATGCTATTCTAATTTTAATACCTATTTTTATTTTAGTATCTTTTTTTAGTTTGCTCTACATAATTCTTCAGGATAGCTCTTGTAGCGTTAACCCTCATAATGGTGGAAGAGATGGTAGCTAGAGGCTTTCCCAACAGTTCCAGTGTCTTCAGCTTGTCAGCCTTCTTGTCTTCATGGAGATCTATTTGGATTCTTATGCTGTATTTTTGTACTACTTGCTTATCGTTATTATCAAATTCAGAATCAGTGTGCTTTGCTGTGGTGTTACAGGGGCTGCTGCATCTTGTGTGGGACCTTGATCTTGCTTGTTTGATTTTTGTGACGATGTTTCAGCTGGACTTAATTCCTCTGAATCCTCTGTGTGCTAGGGCTGTGTTTCAACTAACTGTTTTGCCTTGCGCACAGCACCGCTCATGTTATCCTCCACTGAGATTCCATGTATCACTTTAATTTCCACCAGGTCTTTGTTGGTCACAGGTAAAGGCTGCATTTCAAACGACCAGTGTGCTATCCCGACATGCCTCTTTTCAGTGTCTTCTCTATGGACAGCTTCATTCTCCAGTCTTTGACCAAAGCTGTCTCTGGTAACAGACAATGGGTGAGGTTCAAAATGCTTTATGCTTTTCACACTTCCTTTAAGCTGTTTTAGCTCAGACCTCAGCAGCAGCAAGTTAAGGACACTCACTGGGTAGACCACAGGTTCTGTGCTTCCAGCATGTGCTTCAGAGTCTTTCCAGCACCACAAGAAACTTGTCGGCTGCGAGTTTCATCTGATGTTTGTTATTCATCGTGATGAATTTTATTCCTAGAGTTCAGTGGCTGCATTTCAAACATACATGTGACTGCTTGAACACCTCCTCTAACTAGTGCAAGAGCCTTGTAAGTAGTTCCTGCAGAGCCTGGAGCATGTGCATGCACTGCATCAAGAGGCTGGGCCTGAAACATCCAGCCTATGTATTTAACATTTCCACCTGCAATGGTTTCCTGGTCTGCAATGCTTCTAGCTTTATCTGGGTCTGGCTGGTCATCTTTAACTGAAACAAAATGATGGTTCTTAAAGACCCATCTTATAGAGAGAACCTCTCCTCTCTGGATTTCACACCACTCTAAGTATTGTTTTTCTGGTCTTGTGAACATCTGAATGATGAAGGCAAAGCCATATCTAGCCTGCTGCACTGACATCATATTTTGTGTTTCAGATTCAACAGCTAAAATATTAGAATTCTCACTCAGGTAATGTTTCTCTAAGCGTTTTCTTAATTGCGGGTGGAAATGTTTGTTTGAATGTCTTAGTTCACATAAATTGCTTTGCTTTGGGTACAGATCTGTGGAGACAGTGGGCTTTGGAGGGCTGGACGATTCAGTCGACTGGGAAGTTGCTGTCATTTCCAATAGAACTTTCACATAAGTAGTGGAAAACTTTTCTGTGCTTCCATATTTATGGAATCTGGAGCAAATAATTCCAGAAGTAGCAGTTTCATCCTGTTTTTCCCTTGGTGTAGAAGTTTCCTGCAGTCTGCTTGCTGAGGTAGTAGAAGATGAAGTAACTGTTGAAGGTAATGTAATTTCTTGGTACGTATTTTCAATCTTTAGGGAACAAAAGTGGTTGGTTTTTTTCAAAGTATGGAAACATAGAAAACAATTTTTATATTCTTCACAAAAGCTAGTTCTGCAAGGATCCAAGCAATAGGATTATAATAAGATCTGGAAAGACAGAATCCATCAGCTATTGCTTAGAATGCATAAAACCAATCTTTTGAACTAAGAGCTGTGCTATTTGCACCATAGCATATATGTGAAAAGAAATGTGGAATTTATACAAAATGCGAAATGATTATTGAGCAGTCTTGGAGCTTTTGCTGCAACAAATGCAGACTTTGCATTATAAGCATAATTATAAGCATAATATAATTATAAGCATAATATAATAATTATAAGCATAATATAATATAAGCATAATATAATTATAAGCATAATGCAAAGTTATGCTGTGGCTTATGCTCATTTTCATTTCTTCTGAAAATGACATTTTCTATGCTTCTGAGAATCTGTGGTGACAGAAATTATACATATTTACAGATTCAAAACAAGGAGAGAGGAAACTTCAGCAGAGGAGGACAGGAATGCAAAAATTTTTATAAAGGTTTACTTTTAATTGTTTGTCATATACTGTAAGTACTTGTTGAGCCTTCTAACGTATTTCATATTACATTATGTGCACTTGATTCCTAAAGTCCATATATTCCCACCACTTTCATAGGTTACATTTTTAATCACAATTAGTCAAAATAGAAATTCAGACTACACAATGGACCGATGTCTTAACTTCACCACTTCTAATTTGCATAAAGAAAGATCCCTCTTATTAAAAGCACAGACCTTTACTTCTTTTGCAGGTGTTGCGGTATCTCTGTCAGAGTGAAGAGCCTTTTCCTGAGGTGTCCTTTCAATCTGCTGTTTTAAAATCTGCATTACAGTTTTTGGTAGCTCTTCATTCTGAGCTGCATTGATTACTGCAGTGGGAAAAAGAATAAAAAAGATCGTTTTTCCTCCACCCTGCATCTTATGAAATTGACTTTATCAGTGAATTATAAACCATTATTACATTAGAAAAATTGTACTTAACCTTGCAGAAGTCTAGAGAGTCACTTGATCATGAACAGAAATCCATAGTGAGAATGACAGAATAGTTCTTGAGGGACATGTTATCACCTGCTGTTTTGCCATACCTGAGTGGTGTGGCAGGGATAAAGGTTGACTGGGGTCTGTGGGAGACTATAATGTGTGAATTCAAATACCAGGACTAAACTGCAGCAGCAGCAGTGTCTTCACACTGTGGTCATATTCTGCAGGGCTATAGTTCAGCTATAAATTGAACCTTTCTCATCCACAATTTTCTATATACACGGGCTAGTGTTTCCCTATGTTTTCAAACAATTCGTCAAGTCCCCAGTTCTTTTAGGCAACTGAATGCATATTTAAAACCACCTCCTTCTGCAAAAGCCATCTTTCCATACCAAATTCTAAACTCGTTTTTAAGTCCTGTTGAAGTCTATGAGTGTGCTTTGCTGAGAATTAAGAGCAATGTGCATTGTCATGTTTGTATGCTAGTAGTGGTACACTTGTGCAAGACATTTGCCATTGCTCATTTGAGAGCCTTTATTCTCATGCCACTTCTTACCTGTTTCATCCCTGTGCTGAGTGAATGTAGAAGCCATTTTTATCTCATGAGTAACTTGCTCGTGATGAGAAACCTGTGCACAAAACCTTCACTTTACTACAGGATTTAGTGCAATATGTAAGAATTTTCCATACTTCTGCAACTGTATTTAAAATGTTACGTCAAAGAAAAAAATGAATGGAAACCTAATTAATTACCATGGTAAAACAATAATAAATTAAAAACACTTAATAAAACACCTTTAAAAATTATTATGCACTCCCTAATAAGGGAGGCTGTGAATAAAACATCTAGATCTCGCTGTACCAAGTGGTAAAAGAGGAAGAAGCAAAGCAGATATGTATCAGCATCAGTATAATTATCCAATGGCATAATTATTAATTGATATAGTTACCTCTTGTGTTTGAGAGGCTTCCATTTGACTTTCTTTGGAGGTCATTTCATTGCATTCAGCTTCTCTGGTGCTGCTTGATACTGTGAGCTGATTGCTACATGACATTTCCTAAAAGCAAATAAAAATAATCAAACATTAACAGCTAACAGTAAATTGTTTTTTTCTTTTCTTTTTTTGCCTATGAAGGTTTTTCACAAATAAATTCTAATGTAAGTGGTGTAACTGTCATTTTACAGCAGAGTACCATTGTTATTATGATTGATATTTGTTGCCATAAAAGTTGGAACAGGCTTTTTTATAACACAGAAGATGTCAAGTAATTTCTGTTACTGCAGCCAGATTTTGACCAGCAGATACAAAAAGCTGTATGAATACTACAATATATAATTAGACTGGAAGGGGACAAAGGTGACTAGGAAGACTGGTCTGGCTTTGCGTCCTGTGCCATCAACTTGTTACCTATCAGCGGTATGATGAGGCTTATGCAACTTCGTAAAAGGAAGTTTAAGAATATGTCTATATAAGACATGCTGACTTCCTGCATATGCTTTCTACAGCTCTTCTGATGCAAAAATCATGCTGAATTGCAGTTGTGAAAAATCTGACCCATAGGCTAACCAGAATATCCTATAAAATATACAGGCTAGCATTCTATCTACAAGTCTGACAACTGCAGTGTAATAAACAGAGCATATCATTCAGTGTTTAAAGCGCTGCCTGAGATGTCCGTATAAATGAATTTCTGAGGTTATCTATGTTTAGTTTGACTCCAGATTCTGGCAGTAATTTGTATTCTTATTTAAAGTCTGTCGCAGAACCTGTATTACCTCACATTACCTGTGTCATGGAGTACTTTGAGACTTAGTGATTAGAAGAAATAAATCCTAAGGATTGATATTATTAAGATATCAGTTCTGTGCTTCCTCTCTCGCACACTAGCATGCACACAGAGACATCTAACAAATAAACTCACTTATGTAAAATTAAATTTTCTTCTTCTTTGTGAGAAGGAATCTTGCCTGTTAGTTTCTACCGATAATAACCTTTCAAATGAAAGGAGCTTCTGGTCCCTCCAGCAAGAGCTTCCCAAGTGTTCAATGTAATGTGAATGTAAATGGAGGCAGCACTGTGTTTCTGAGATCGCTGCTATACATCTAGCGCAACACAGAGCTATAAGCTTCCTGTATCTCAAATCCTGACACCTCCCTGAAATCCAGCTCATTGTGAGGCAGGAAATTAGCGCTCTCCCTTAGTCACCCCATGACAAAGCACTTATTTATGGAATTTATTCCACCTTCAAACTAAAGAATGCTTACACTGCTTGCATCTTCACTAACATTTCTGCTGAATCAATGTAGGGGAGCATCCATTGCCTGGCCCATAATTTCTGCCATACAGTAGGCAGCAAGGGTTCTTTGGTTCTGTGGCAGAGAAACAACATGCATCCCCTTCATGGGCTTTAGGAATTCTCTTCCACCTCTGTGCTGCCAAATCATTTCAACTATAAGATGAATTAAAATTATATGAACAAAAGGTAGAATAAATTTTCTGATTACTGGCCCAGTAAATGCTTTAGTGCATTAACAGTATCAAAAGCAATTCTATCTACTGCAAAGTTTGAACTGCCAAAGTGAGGTAAGGCTTGAAGGAGAGCAAGTCAGAGCATGGTTACACTCGCAGGTTCTGTATGTGTAACAGTTGTGACAGAGTCACACAACATGAGGAGACGTAGAGCTAACCCTGTACACATTTGAAAAGAGGTTGTTCAAAGAAAATGATGTGCAAATTTTTCCATCTATTCTCTGTTTAATGGCTATGTGTAGGTGTATGTCTAATAATGCCTTTTCATTTTATATGGATAAGCTTTTCAATATATTTATGCATCTATATGCTTTTTTCAGTTAAGATATGGTTTTCTGTTCCAATATGCATGTTTTAGATATGTAAGTCAAGTTCTCATTACTGGAAAGGCTCATTCATGAGACACGAAATATGTTCATGATAGTCATTATGTGTCCTTTGAATGGTGTGGGGTATTAAAAAGGAATATAATTAGGCTTGATGTAGTCAGGAAGCAAATCTAATCTGAATGTCACTACTGCTTTATTGCTGTAACTTTGTACTGCTTATGAAGTAGTTGCCATATTGCAAAAGATTATAATCGTTTAATGCGACAGCTATGGCTGTCTAAAATGCAGCCTAAACATTATGGGCCAGATTTTGATGATATAATTACATGGCCTTGCTCTGGGCATGCAGGGAGGAAGAGGGACTTGGAGATTCTCATGTTTTGTGCATCTGTTAAGATGGCTAATTGAAATTCTAGTGACAGAGGGTAAAATGCTGCTTCTTTATTATTCCAAACAAATGGAGAGCAGAAAGACCTGTGGTTTAATGCCTCCTCTGTAATGGCCAACTGTTGTATATAGGATAGGATATCCTGTAGGTCGGATTAATTCAGTCTACCCCATTAGAGTTGGTGGCATGTTTCATAGACCCCATAGATTTTGGAGAATATTCTGTAGAATTATTTGATGATCTGTATGGAATAAAGTTGCTCTTCTCTTATTAAGCAGGAGAAGTTGTGCCTCTAATGCAGGACTGCGGCTGAAGACCATGTTCTAGATTTAATACTAGTTAAGAGTTATGCTTGTGGGAACTCGATCCCTTTATTTGTTTCTGTGGAATACACAATTCCTGCTGTACTGTGCGTTATTTAAAGGTTATTTAATCAACCAGATCCTGCATCATGGTGTCAGGAGGGAACAGCTCCCCCCCTCTAGGTTGTGCCGGGGAGAACAGACAGAACTCAAGTCATTTTTGGTGGCAGGAGTGAAAAGACAAGTATTGCAATTGCTTTTCCCATGGCCCAAGAGTCACCTTTAAATTAGTTTTTGTTTATTCTATATCATGAGTGAGCTTCAGAAAACACTGTCAGCTGGATGATTGTTGATGTGCTGCTAGCTCACGAACAGTTCTTACAATCATTTTATTTTTATTTCAGATTTTCATCGCCCTCCATTCCCTTCCATTTGTTTCAAGTCAGCCTTTATGGAGGCTGCTGGCCTTCCCATGCATACCTGTATGGTACTTTATGCAAAGGGCTATAGTGTCCTGTTGTGTCTCTGGTTAATAAGTCATTGTAACCTAAACCAATACTATTTAGAAAATAAAGATGTAAATCTGAGAATAAGTCTGTATACATTTTGTTAGAAGAGTGCATTTTTATGTAGGCATTCAGATTCTGTTACTGAAGAGAACTGTAATTGCCACGTGTGTTATTTGTTAGTGGCCCAGATATCAGTTTTAGTGCCTCTGCGCTGCAATAATTTAGATAGAATTCTTATTGCAAAATGTGCCAAGATTTGAATTTTCAGTAACTGTATTTTAGACCAAGGTTTGCTTTTTTGTGGTGACATTTTTGCAGTTTCCTTCTGTTGTGACAACAGACAAAACATACTTTCCCTTTCAAAGATAAAATTGGTTTGAGGATCAGAATATGTATGCTGTTATATGCATACGTACATAAAACACGTATACAATTCTATATATGTATCTGTGTATTGTTCAAGGGGATCAAATGGCCCAAAAGCTTGTCCAAGCACAAGAAAGTCTTTAACTCGCTCACATTTGAAACATATTTCTTTTAATTGAACTATACATTATAGTCATCATATAAACTCTGTGGGAAGTTGGCTAATATATCATTTATGTATTGGCATATTTAGAACTTACTGTTCTAAATGATCAGTATCATTATCAGTAGTTGTATGTATATACTCAGGGTGTTTTGGGCACTATATAGAAGATTTTCATAGAAAGACGAGGTTTTCACCATTCACTAACATTGTCCCGTTATTCAATCTTTTCCTCTGCGATCACTAGAAAATGGACAATTGCTATGCCAGCTATCTTAGAAAATTTGTCTGAAATGACCCTCAATGAAGGAGGTGTAGCTATACCTGTGTCATTCCTGACACATGATACTATATGGTTGAGTGAATATGAGATACTTTCAATATATTCCACTTATCCTTCTTATGGAGGAGGTTCAGCTCACCTGCCAGAAACGGCTTGTTTCTGACGCTGGATGGTGAGACTCTGAGCAGCTAGCTAGCTGAGCTGGTGTAGCAAACCACTCCAGGCCAGGATTTGCTGGCCAATAACACTGAAGCTCATGACCTCTTCTCAGCTTGGTGGCTGAGGATAAAAGGTGCTAATGATGCCAGTGGTCAAATTAAAGACCAGGTCTCTGAACAAACTCTGGTTGAGTTTGTGAGCACATGTCAATTCTTGGATCAGTTTTCATTGCTCCTCACCATTTTGGACAAGAGTTTAGTGCATCCTACTGGTAATATGGCACCTTTCACAAGGTGAACCAATCTCCCTTACAATGAAGAGAGCTATGGGTGATGGATGCTGCCTGAGAAAAACAGAAAGATAAATAGTTATTCTTTGCATATTTGATGTCAATATTTTGAATGAAAAGCCATGCGCTCCTTATGCAATAATTGAATATGTAGTAAAACATTTAGCTGTTTAGATTACTGTTTAAAAAATTAATTACTTCCTTATTTTAGCTTGGATTAATAGTTTGAATTTATCCATATCTAGAGATCTGTCTTCAGACTACGTGATTTCTCTGTTTTGCCCCAGGATTGATTCAGTGACCTTGAATAATCTTTCAACTACCTAAGTGTATAATCCCATTTTCCATGAGAGTGCAGTTACGTTAGATAGAAATGGGATTTTATGGTCTTGCAGTAAGTTATTTAACCTAAATTTAAAGATTGTTCCATATAGTCTGAGTGATTTTATTTCCTGTGAATGTGACTATTTCTGCTGATGATTTGAGAGTGCCTCCTCAACTAGCCACAGAGGACAAATACATAGATAAGTATGCTTAGAGGTCACATCTTTGTTGAAGAAGTGGAACCATCATAGTGGCTTTGTGGAGAACTAGAGATCACTGTTAGGCCAGGGAAATGCATCTTCACATCACAGAAATGAAATTATTTGGTTCTGAGTAACAGAAAAAGTTACATAATTTCTGTACATAGTTCTGCATTTCTTCATCCAGATAAATGGCAGCTAGGTTGGTCCACATCATCAGAAAAGTACGTGCATAACACTTCCTGTTACCAAGATTATGCTCCAGTATGATTACATGCAACTATGGGATTTTTCTGCTTAGTTAAAAATGCTTTAATACATCTGCAACAAACTCTGTCTTCTCCCCTATAGACTGGAGTTTTGCTTTTTCTCTGTGCAAAATGATGATATTGGTATTAATGTGTAAGAAATGAGACATGAGTGGTAGATAGGATGATAGTTATTTAACATGAAAATGAACCTTTGGCAGAATGTAGATGTGTCCTCTTCTACAAAGCAGGAGAGCAATATTGCTTAAAAATCTCTCCAAGAAGTGCAGGATGGTAAAGCACTTTACTGTGCCATTACTGTTTTTCAGAGTGCACAGGACAGATTGTGCAGTGTGTTTTATTATAGGGGATTTCACATAGTCCAAAATCATTATCTCCTACAACAATTTTTCATGGTATATGCTAATGAAGTAATAAAATGTAAAGACTTTTTATCTAAAATAACACTTAGCTGCTGCTTTGTTCTACTTTTATGTAGCATCTGGGTTCTTCTGTGCAATTTTTGATATGTTTAGGGGAGTTGATTAGATTTAATTCAATGGAAACAGGAAAGTCCTTTTGAAAGAAAATGGCTTAACATTACATCAAGTGCAATATATGCAAAATATCACCATGATACTTGATAATGAATTACAGTCTTATAGACAAGGTTCAGTATAAAATACTGCTATGGTAGTAACCTGTTTTACTCATCTATTTGCTCTAAGTCTAGCATTGCCTATATTGAGTCTTCATCTGCATAAAAAAAATAATGATTCCTGTAGTATATCTCAGAAAATTCTGTGAGTATGAACATTAGGGAAACAGCTCATTGATAATGAAAACTCTTCAGTAAAGCAGACAATCATATTTCTTCCTCAAGCTATCTAGCAGGGCATACTTCATTTGTTACAATTAAAGATGCTATTGTTACCTGTACAAATTTGTGCTGGTGCTGGTACTGAGCAAAGGTCTTTTGTGAAGAGGTCATCTGCACTATCTCAAATTGTTTCCTCACTGCTGCCAGGCCACCAGGCACAGTACAGAACTTGGTTTTCTCTGAAGTCTAGAGTGATAAAATAAGGTCAGTTGTTTTCCATTTGCACTAAGAACATAGTTCTACAAGCTGATTTTTTTTAAAAGTAGTTAATAATAGTATGCTATAATGCTTGTAACTTTCAAATGGAAAATTTGGAAACATTTGGTTATGTCTGTAGCCTCTTATAGGCAACTTCCACTGACGTAATCTGTAAAAACCTACTTATTTTAACAGTACACATGAATTAACATCAGCATTCAGAACAGACACATTAATAAGATAGTTATTTTTCAGGTGTTGTCATCAAAATACAAAACATATACGTATGTTAACATTAACTGTTCAATCTCATTGGCCCATTTTACAATGAAAAATTAGGACCTGCTTATTATGAAGTTCTTTTAGAATTTAGCCTCTTCCCTGGAAGTGTTCAGGGCCAGGTTGGATGGGGCTTTGAGCAACCTGATTTAGTGGAGGGTGTCCCTGTCCATGGCAGGGGGGTTGGAACTAGGTGATGTTTAGGGTCCCTTCCAGCCCAAAGCATTCTATGATTCTATGAACTGAGGTTTAGTGCTTACACCTGATGAGTAAGTAAGCAGATCATAAAAAAAACAGATTTTTTCCCCCCTCTGTGATGAGGGCAGCATGATTCTATATGTACATAGATGTGTGAATGTGAAAAGTAATTATTTTAGTGAATGAACATTTCAGGCACACCTTTCCAGCCATTTGGAGATATTTAGAAGGGTAAATGCAGTTACGGGTCTTGTAAGGAAATGTATTAATTCCTTTTAATGGGACCAGATATGCAGTTGCTTTTTCAGGCAACTATCCATTTCAGCAAGAAATTGCTAGGAGTTCCAGGATATAAATGAAGTAGTTCCTGTGTGCTCAACGTAGTTAGGTTGGGTCAGGCTTCACACAGTTCTTTTCTTTTTGAGAGAAAGTACTAAGTTCAGCAATGTTTCCAATTGCAGGAGTAGGGAATTGGAACCTTCTCAGCCATGTGAACTGCAGGAATCAGTTCCAAATATACACAGGCAATTAGGAAATAAGGAAGTCAGCAGGCAGGAGTTTGGTGGTTGGAAACCCAGACTCCAGTGATCGTGACTGGTGGCTGTTTTCACTATGTGGCTTCTGGGCTATCCAAACACCCAGAAGGTCCCTTCAGCTGCAGTAGACCGCTTCTCCCAAGATCAAAGTGCAGGTAAGACTGGGAATCCTTCTACAGCTCTTCTTGCATATGGACAAAGATGTTGCTGGCTGGTGAGAGCTGTATTGTAGTCCTTCTTTTGCCAGATATGCTCTCTGATTTACAGAAATTACTCTGGCCTAGTTTACAGAAAGAAAAAGATGTTCTACCCATGTGCTGAAAGTTTAACGTAAACAAAGACCATCGTCATTCTAACATCATGGAAAGCCAGCATAATGCCGCCATTTCCTGATACACGGGGGCAGAACTACAACTTCTAGGTAGGATTTTAAGATACAGTAAAAATACACTTTTTACCCCTTAGTATTTCTGCAGAACTGAGTCAGATTTTCCTAACTCTCCTGGCTGAGATCTGAAGACCTGATTTTCAGATATGCCTGACTGATAATTACATTTGTGGTGAAGTGGTCTTGCTCTATTTTAATAGATTATAAATTCTATTAGCCAAATACTTTATGTGCCACCTGGTATTGATATTAAACTTTGCTGTAAAATACCTAATCCCTATTGATAGACATGTAGAGAGATGAGTAAAACAAAATTAAATATTTTTTTTCTAAATAGTTTTTCATATAATGCCCATTTTAAAATAATTTTATTCTAAACCAATACTTTTTCATACACCTTGTCTCACAGAGCTGCTATTTTAAAATACAGCAATTTCAGATTCTTTAGTTTGAACAGCAAGAGGTCTAAACTTAATGTGCTTTTGAATATGATTTTATTATTTCGTAATATTTTTAGTAATGCAGAAACCGCTGGGTTTTGTCATTATGAGCTGAAAGAATAACTGTGTTGCTAATCTGTCTAAAGCCTATAGTCCTAATAAGTGCAGTTCATGCAACAGCGGAATAAAAAGAACAGTACTTCCAATGAATTAAAAGCAATTGTCCAAATGACCAAAGGTGTATAGCATGAAAAATCTCATTCAGTAGAGACAGAGACTGATGCATCAACACATTTGCTAAGTAGATTTGGTAATTTAGGTTTCAAATTTTGATCCCCATAGCAGTCCATCAGTCAGCTTGTATAAATAAAGAATGTAGGATATGTCACTATGCAAAGCAAACACAGAGCTAAGAAGATAAAGAACCTTGATATCTTACGTGAGGAAAGGAGTTGCTACCCTCTATCTCAGACACAGCAGCCTTGTACATAGCCATTCTTTCTTTTAAGGAGACAGTCTCCCGGAAATCCAGCGGTGTGTTATCAGCCCTAGGAGTGCTCTCTTTAGGTAGTCCTCTTACAGGTTTGCGAGAACCCACTGTAAGTACAAACAGACATTGTATTTTTTCAGAAGGAACAAGTACCTTTTTTCCAAATCTTGAAAGAAAAGCAGTAGTAGAAAGGAGTAGCATTATTAACATTTTAGCAACTGTATCTTATTTTCAATTTAGAATTTACTGAGTACAGAAAAATTTATTTCAATGAAGTTTTTGACATTGGGGGAAATTCCTTAGGGAAATAACAAAAAGATTTAAAAAAAAATCCATAATCATTTTATAGTGTTACATTTGCATTATTTTATACTGTAAAAAGTCATTGTAGGTACTACAAATAACCAATTATAATTAGATATATTATTTTCTAGTTAGCTTTATACACTATATTATACATTTGCTTAACAGAGAGTCCTTTCCAAGTTGATTGTAGATTTCAGTTGTTTACTGATACTGCATTAGAGTATGTTTTAGTTGGTTTAGTACTACTAAAACCTTATTGAAAATTATCTAAATTACTAACTACATTTTAACCTTATTTCAAGGGGGTACAGACTTAATCTATAAGCATCTGCATTTCAGCCTCAGTGATTGTGGAGCCAACAGTTCAGAGTACTCCTGAAAGAGCAGCACTGAGTTACCAGCACTAGTAAGTTTTGTGTTGCTGCTTTCTACGTTCAAATGACTGTATAAGAAGAATTCCATATACCCAGAAAAGTGCCTTAAATTTAGCATAAAGATATTTTTCCTTCTTGTTTCAGAAAAAGGGAAAAAAAGTGTGTTGTGAGCATCTCTATTGTCTGTGATCAGAGGCAGAAGAGATTTTATGTAATCCCACAGGCTGGAAGTTCCTCTTGTCCTGCCAAGGTTTTGCTACAGAGCATGGAAAATTGGGTTGAATGACACTGGATTTCTGTAATCAGGACACTCCCTTTCTTTTTGGGAGGTGAGGGAATTTTAAGACTTCAAGATATACTTTTAGAAAAGCAGCCAGAATCTAATTTTTTAATCCTTGTCCTTGTGCTCCAAATATCAGAGCACCCTGATCTTCCCTAAATCCATCTATATATCTCCTTGTCCTTGCATAATAGGACAGAATAAATTTGTTGCAACCTGCACTGTTTTGGGTTTTTGGTTTTTTTTTTTTTTTTTAAACAATTGTATTTTCTGAGATTGCAGAAACAGGCTGTAGTTGAACTAAATTATCTCAAAAAGACCCACCAAAAATCATGCTGCCCCCCCCGATATTTCTTGGAATTTCTCAAAGTTGAGGAAATTACTGACTTAAAATGGAGAGAAGGGGGCAGGAAGAAACAGTGTAGATATGTCCTCCTGTTCTGTGTTTTAATGCAAACCAGTAGGTACCCAAACTAAAGCCCTGAAGTCCATTTCCAAACAGGAAAGGAAAGTCAAAGAGGAAGCTTCAAATGTGTGCTTTCTGCTAGCTATTGGCAGTTTACTTGTACTTGTATTGTTATGTATTCTGGCACTGCTGACACCCTGTCTTCCTCATTCTGAGTGTGCTTTGTCACTTTGTTGCAGCACAGGGCTGGAGGTTTTTTTGAAATAACATATTTATGGTTACTGTGTACAATTCATTTATGCTTTCTCATCTTGCTGGTGATTTGCAGACTTACTAAATTAAGCAAATCTACTTGCTTGCCATAATTCTGCTAAGAAATTAGTAACTTCTCTTTGTACAGTGTCAGCTCTCCCATAATGTGAATATAAAACACCAAGGACATACTATAGTCCATTACCTTTTCTACAATTCCATGCAAACTAACACCATTTACAGGACTAGTCTTCTCTTTAGAAAGAAAAAAGTCTTCAAAATCCTCTCCTAGGAACTGTTTTGTCAATTTTAAAGGCAAATTTCCCAGTCTCCTGAAATCCACTACCCAGTGGAGACCATCTCCACTGAATCCCTTCCTGGAGCAAGTAGAGGGGTACAACTGATTTTGGTTTATCCCCACATGTATAGGGGGGAACTTGGTGGCTGGTTTTAGGGCCTGAGGCCTGTATAGCATTTGCCAGAGGAGTCAACTGCTTGTTCTGGAAGCCTAACTGTAATACATATTGCTATACATACATGCATTACAAAAACATGTGCTTGGTCAGTCACATTTCTTCTTAGCTAAGTTGGTTCAATTTTGATTATTGTATTCTTTTACTAAGGCAGTGGCTGAGAACACAAAAGATACAGATAAGAAAAAATAATCCCATTTTCTTTTG